CACTTCTGACAGCACCAGCTCTGAAATACTCCGACGGCGTCATGCATTATTAAACAAAACTCATGTTGCCACGCCGACGTCGGCGTACCCCGAAGGCAACATGCAACGACTAACAAAACTCATGCTGCCCAGTACTGCATAGTCCACTTCAGGATAAAGCTCCGTTCCCGCGAAAAAGCCAATATAGTGCAAGACCAATCCCTCTGAAAGAACGGAAATCCAGCCAACAGCAAGAGCTCCTACGGCCCACGTCCCGGGCCCACGTCCCGGGGGCTTGGATCACATACGGACCCTTGCAAACCACCTCCCCACAGTCAGCTGGGTCAAGCTTCTCAACAGCATCGCCATTCCAGAACAACTTCAAATACGTCTCCCTGAACCCTACACCCCCCACAGATCGGATGTACTTGCAGAGTTCCTCCAATACATCCGTTTCCCACTCGTTTGCAGCACGTTTCGTTGGTCAGCAGATATACCTCAACGCCAAACGTCTCCACCATCAAAGACAGCTCCAGCACTAATACTTGCTTCCGTACTCAGCAAGAAACGCCAAAATCGCAGAACTCGCAACGTGCGCCCCAGGCACTTTATTGCTTGAAAAGTCGAGCCAGGTTCCACGGCAGGAAGCACAACCAGAAAACTTCAGTATGTGCGCAACCGTAGAGTTCCGGGTTCTCAGGCTTACCCTGTTCTCCACGCTTGCAAAACCAACATCTCCAGCCTTGCGCATATGGTCCTTCAAGTCTTGCCAGCTTGCAGTTGGAGGAAGGCCATGGACGCGGACTCGGTACGCCGATCTGAAGACAAAATCAGTGCACAACAAAAGTCGCACTTCTACGTCCATACTGCGTGCTCGGCATACAACCCTTGGCTAAGACAACTACCGACCGGCGCCTCAACTGCATTGCTATTCGCCCGTAAAACATTTCGCCAGCCACATCCCTGCACGTTGTTATACAAGGCATTGTCCGCTGTTACGACTGAAACGCCCTGGTCCATCAAGCAGACGGCTGGAGCATTTTCACGCCCAGGCGGAGTCAAAGGTGGTGATCCACAGCGTCGGGCGCCACATACCGTCTTGGAGGTCCATATGACCCCCCATCACCGCCTCCACGACCGCCACGGCGTTCCCCACCGCGTTCAACTCGGAGGCACATGTCGCCATAACGCATCCCATCTCGCCGCTCGATTGCATCATCCACCGAGCTGAGTACGTCAACGAAGCGCATGCAACCGC